AGGTTTGAAATCTGTGCTCAAATTATTTTCACTTGTCGGATGTGCTGCCCTCTATCAACAGCTTATGGTAATTTCCTATGATGAACATACAGGAACCTGTTTTTTTTTATTTATTTTTTTTAAATTGACAGTTTGAAATTGAAATTAAACCAATAGAAACCTGTTACGCTATGAAAATATCCTTGCGTCATGACGTCATTTTCATTATTGACCTGGGTTTTTTTTTCAATTATTTTCATTATTAACCTAGGGAGCGAAATTCAATTTTTCCAGAAAAATAGATTGAATAATGACTACTTCTCAGGTTAGTAGTAAAGAAAAGACTGTATACTTGACTTTGATCTTAAATAATTTTTGAAAAGTAGACTCACCTACCAACGAACCGGATTATGTAACACTATAAACAGCCTGAAATGAAAACAATATCTAAACATACATTTACTTTTAATAGGTACTTATAGAAGACTATCAAAAAACGCATATTTTGCTTCCATTTGCTTTTTGAATGAATGTAAAATAAGCAGGAGGAATTCCACCGAAATTCAAGTCGATCCGGCAACATTCAGCTGGAATCGCCTGTCGCCCCCGACCCCGCCATTCTGTGTAACGACAAACCATTCACCATGCTCTTTCCTCGAATCTCGAACCTGTTCGGCAGCTGTCTTTGTCTTTCTTTGGATTCACCTCGCGTTGTTTGACCGCGGCGTCGCCCTCGTTTTTGCTCTCTTTTTAACCTCTCGGCCAACGAGTTCGGATTGTAATGTCGAACAGTATGATAATTTGTATTCATTGGTAGTAGGTAAATAAGTTTCTTTTATTAGTAAGATGTCTATCTATAGTCTGGGCTCGAAACAGGTAGTTCTTCTTTAGGTGAAAATTCCTCTCTCCACTAAGTACCTAATCAGCCGTAGAAGTTTTTATCAGCTATTTACCAACAAGGCCGGCTATAAAATTTTATTATTTTTTCGTTTGGGATTTTATTTTAGCATAAATTAAATAACGCATATCAGTACTCAAAGCTCATTGTTTTTGGTGGGTTTGGTTTATCACTCTTTAAAAATTTAGGTGACATAAACAATAAAACAATAAGTTCAGTGGACACTGTGAACAGGATGAGCGGACGTTGATAATCAATAAAACAACACGCCATATGTTACAAAGTCTAGTTTAGTAAAAACGACAGTCAACAACGGGAATGACGCAAAAATTTAATTTTAGTCATATATTTTTTTATGTCATACCAGTACATTATTGTGTTTTTATACCTTAGATACCATCTATATAATTCATTACTTTATGCCCGGGCGGGCATAAAGTACACATTATGGCCCGCGCGGGCATAAAGTACACATTATGGCCCGCGCAGGCATGACATAAAAGTTTGTATGCACCACGGGTACTAATAGATATATACCCTCGGGCAACTTACGAACCCTCGGGCCAGAGGCCCTCGGCTTTGTAAGACTGTCGCCCTCGGGGCATAATCATCTACTTAGTACCCTTGATACATAAATAACTATTTCTGATAGCAATAATTACCTACTTTAGTATAGGTAGGTACTTACCTAATACATTTTTTTAAAATTTATATATTTAGGAAGTGGTTTTGAATCCCATTAGCGAAGTTGCCTAAAAATTAGGTATATTATGTCCTGGAAGTTAGCCACAGAATCAGAAACGAAAATCAAATTTTTACAGTCGTCCAAATAAGTAGTGCAAATTAATATATGTAATTATAAATAGTAGGTAATTATTAGCTTTGGTGCGCTATTTAGGTCAAAATTTAGAATATTTTTTGTAAGAATAGGTACTAGGGTGTACCTCTTTATAGATAAGACTTTGAAATTCCGCCGAAGGGATGAAAAAACTAAATTCAACCCTAATATCAAAGTCTATTGAAAATTGGAATAAATACATAGGTACTTCTACAAAAAAATTTGTAACACCAACACCACCAAACTTTTTTTGGAATACTCTTTGAAACGTTGATAATAATAAAATACCAAAATAACTAGTGTGCGACGAGGTTGAAGGGGGTGGATTCAACCCCAAAGATAACAGAAAGATACTAACTTCTGAAAAAAATTTTAGTACACCACCGAACTTTTTTTTTAAATATTCTTTGGGACGTAACTAATCATAAAATCCCAAAATAAAGAGTGCGCGATGGGGCTGAAGGGGGTAGATTCAACCCCAAAGATAGGGAAAAAATACTAACTTCTGAAAAAAATTTAGCTACATCACCAAATCTTTTTAGAAATGTTCTTTAGGACGTAAATAATCATAAAATCCCAAAATAAAGAGTGCGCGATGGAGCTGAAGGGGGTAGATTCAACCCCAAATATAGGGAAAAATACTAACTTCTGAAAAAAAAAGAGGATTCTAAAATGAGCGAGAATAAGATGAGCATAACAATAACTCCGACATTTTCACTGGGGGGGGCTGGTAGAGATTCTTGGAAGCTCTCTATCTCATTCCAGGTAACAGAGCAAAATTCGCTGATCATGGAGCAAAATGGAGCAAAACTTGAAGGATAAAATGAGCATAAAAAAACTTTGAAGTTTTCTCTGGTGGGGGCTAGGAGAGATTTTTGGGAGCTCTGTAGCTCATTCCAGGTAATGGAGCAAAACTCGCCGATCATGGAGCAAAGTTTGGAGATTAAAATGAGCATAAAAAAACTCCGAAATTTTCATTGAGGGGGGCTGGGAAAGATTTTTGGGATCTCTGTAGCTCATTCCAGGTAATGAAGCAAAACTCTGGACCAAAATCTCGAGCAAAACTTGGAGAATAAGATGAACATAAAAAAAACCGAAATTTTCACTGGGAGGGCTGGTAGAGATTCTTGGGTGCTCTGTACCTCATTCCAGGTAATGGAGCAAGACACGCAGATCTTATGATTAGTTACTTCCTAAAGAACATTTTTAAAAATATTTGGTGCTGTAGCAAATTTTTTTTCAGAAGTTAGTATTTTTTCCCTATCTTTGGGGTTGAATCTACCCCCTTCAGCCCCATCGCGCACTCTTTATTTTGGGATTTTATGATTAGTTACGTCCCAAAGAATATTTAAAAAAAAAGTTTGGTGGTGTACCAAAATTTTTTTCAGAAGTTAGTATCTTTCTGTTATCTTTGGGGTTGAATCCACCCCCTTCAACCCCGTCGCACACTAGTTATTTTGGTATTTTATTATTATCAACGTTTCAAAGAGTATTCCAAAAAAAAGTTTGGTGGTGTTACAAAGATTTTTGTAGACGTACCTATGTATTTATTCCAATTTTCAATAGACTTTGATATTAGGGTTGAATTTAGTTTTTTCATCCCTTCGGCTGAATTTCAAAGTCTTATCTATAAAGAGGGGGTACACCCTAGTACCTATTCTTACAAAAAATATTCTAAATTTTGACCTAAATAGCGCACCAAAGCTAATAATTACCTACTATTTATAATTACATATATTAATTTGCACTACTTATTTGGACGACTGTAAAAATTTGATTTTCGTTTCTGATTCTGTGGCTAACTTCCACGACATATCTGTAATAGCACTTAGCACTTGAGGGAAATTAAAAATCAAAAATTTCTCGAGGGACAATTACAGCACGGTGAGATAGATATATTCATCAAGACTATGGGTGGATGGAATTAATAAAAATAAGGATTTGCTTAGAAGCATTTGCTTGTAAGCAAAAGGATTTGCTTTTCAGCAAAAGCTATAGTAGTACAAGCAAATCCTTATTTTCATATTAACTAAATACTTTTGCCATAAGGTTATGCTTGTATGAAAACTACAGCTAAAATTAATATAAAAAATGCATATTATCTTTTTTTATTCTTGTTTTGAAATTTTATCGTAAAAGAAGTAAACATTCTAGTCCAATACAGGGTGTAAAAAGATAGCGTATCAAACTTGAGGGATGATATTGTGTATGAAAATTAAAAAAAAACTTTCTATGAACATATACCCTAAGATACTTCCTTAAGAAGTAACATCCCTTCTCCTTCAAATGGTAGATGGAAATAATAGATTTTATTTATTTTTAAAAACAGTGGCAAACTATTTTCTTTAATGGTATTTTCGCATACATTTCGATGCCAAAGCGATTGGTGATAGTAAAAAAAGCCGCAACAGTTCTGAAACGGTAGTTTCCATAAGGAGTTACTAACAAAACGAACAAGCATTCTAGAACATAATATGTTCGTAGGAACTTTTTTTTAGTTTTCATATGTAGTATCACCTCTCGAAGTCCGGTACACTATTTTTTTTTACACCCAGTATAGGTATGAGTCTATCTTGTTTTCGTAGGTGAACATTTCAGATGTGAAATTTATTTTTAATCATGTCGTCGTCTCCATCTTCTGAATCGGATGAGGGTGAAAATAGTGAACTTTTATATATTGTTAACTTTTTAAAAGAGCATCCAGTCATTATAAATAAAAGTCAAGTGCCATCGATGAAAGTGCCGAAAAATAACGCCATTTTGCTACGTTATGTAATATGAAACATGCAATAATAATAGTTGGAACTGAAGCAAGTGATAATCGAACCATGTTTTGTCATAATGGAATTCAACATTTCAAAGCTAGAATTGAAACCAATTAAATAGACAGACTTATATTTTTAGAAGCATTTGCTTATTTTCACTAGCAAACTCCTAATTTTATTAATCTATGTGGTGCAGATACTTACGTCAGCAAATGCTTATTGCAAATGATTTGCTTTTTCTTTTTATTAATATAAAACCAAGAATTTACTGAGAAAAATAGTAGTAAAAGCAAATGCTTATTTTTATTAATTCCACCCTATTTCACGAATGCTCATAAAACCGAGAACATCCGAATAATTTTTTAATTTGAATTAAATAAGAAGTAGTTATCCCATTAGCAAAATAAATAAACAGTTTACACAATATAATAAACAGATTATTTCCTGATATAGACTTTGCTAGATATTAAGGGCAAAAGTTCAGTTTTTTTATTCCTAATTCTTGTTTTCTTTTTTCTAGTGTTGAATGAGCCTAGCTGTCCACAAGTTCACCAACGAAGAAGATACACATGGTAGCCTTATTCCAGTTTATGAATGTATTGTTATTTTTTCAAAAGTTACCTTCAACTGAAAAAAAAATAGGTATAGATATTATTTATTTGTTGTTCCTGCAAACTTTCTTTCCAAGAGTTTATTTTGATAGGTACACACTTACGCTTTTTATTGTTACGTTACTTATTGTTTTGTTGAAATAATTAGTATATTAGTATGTTTGATTTAGGATAGGATTTATTCTAGTGAAAATAGGGTCGTCTTGATAATAATTATTATTACTTTTCACTTCTCATATGTTGATTTAGTTAGTAGTGTTAGTTCAGTTTATGAATGTATTAATATTTTATTGAAAGTTCTTCAGTTGAAAAAAAAAAAGTATAGGTAGGTATATAGTATTTCTTTGTTGTCCATGCAAACTTTATTTCCAAGAAATTTATTTTGATAGGTACCGAATTAGGCTTTTTTTATTGTTACTCATTGTTTTGGGATAGGATTCATTCTCATAAAAATAAACTCTTTTTGATAATTATTACTTTTCACATATTGATTTAATGGCTTTCGACAGAAAATCATACCGATGGCTATGGTTGGAGATGTACCGGACAAAGCAATAGGACGAGCATGCTAATCTACTAGGTGAAATTGTTCAAATGAATATTCCAGAATTTCTACTTATAAAATAAATTCATACTGAACTTGAACTAAATGCCACAGCATCAAGGGCGTAGATATGGGGTGGGGGGGTAGAGGGGGTAATTACCCCCCACAGATCTCTATTTTTTTAGGTTTTGAAAAAAGCTAATATTTTATTAGATGAAAAATATTGGGGCTTTCGGGTTAAGTAAAATATCGTTATCAAAAAAAATTCTTTGTTCTTGTTCTTTGTTCTTTGCAGGTTGCAAAGCTAGCTGCTAGAATGAGTAAAAATTTATTTTTAGAAAACTATTATCTATTACTGTATTCTGTTATAGTCCCCAGTACATCGACCTTAAAATTTTGTAACTCATGTACACGCCCAACTTTCTGAGCGGCTTCATAACACCAAGTCGGACAATATTTTTCATGTCTCCACCCTGGGCGATGGGACATTGCTGCGCTAGCTCTTCATGAAGTTGTCGTTCTGACGTCCCTTAGGAAGTTGATACATGTACGTGTAATTTTTATGCCAATCGACAGTTTTTTATGTTACATTAACGATATCACATTTGTCGGACAAAAACCATGTGGCTTTGGGGAAGGTCTGACATCCCCAACATGTCGCTGTGGCGTCCCTGAGGAAGTTGATACATGTACGTGTGGTTTTAATGCCAATCGACAGTTTTTTACATTACATTAACAATATCACATTTGTCGGACAAGAAATTTGAGACAATCAATGAAAAAATTAAAATTAGTTTGCCTTAACGCAACGTGCATATTAGTCAGTTTATTATTTACCTGCTTTGTCAAATACCTGTGGGGCTCTGTATCATATTCCCTGATCTGTTTTTTTGATAGTTCTCCGAGTATTTACGGAAATTATTTAGTGAACGGTCATTCAAAACCACGCGTGTGAGAAAGAATGCATATTCAGTCGTGTTTTTTGTGCAATCTCAGGAGTGAAGATCCTGAATTACGGCAGAAATTGATCAAAAGGACTTTTGTTGTCCGACTGACTTTAATACTCATTTTATTTGTCCGACATTTACTACACATGTTTTAAAATTACAGTGTTATTCATAATTATTTTTGTCGGACATACATGTATCAACTTCCTAAGAGACGCCACAGCGACATGTTGGGGGCGTCGGACCCCCCCAAAGCCACGTGATTTTTGTCCGACCTATGTGATATCAATAATGTAATATAGAAAACAGTCGATTTGCATCAAAACCACACGTACATGTATCAACTTCCTCAGGGACGCCACAGCGACATGTTGTGGGCGTCGGACCTTCCCCAAAGCCACATGGTTTTTGTCCGACAAAGGTGATATCGTTAATGTAATATAAAAAACAGTCGATTGGCATTGAAACTACACGTACATGTATCAACTTCCTTAGGGACGTCAGAACGACAACTTCACGAAGAGCTAGCGCTGCAATGTCCCATCACCCAGGGTGGAGATATGAAAAATATTGTCCGACTTGGTGTTATAAAGCCGCTCAGGAAGTTTGGCGTGTACATGAGTAACAAAATTTTAGGGTCGATGTACTGGGGACTATTAGTCCCCAGTTTTACACTAACACTGAATCAGTTTAAGTGTAGTACATTCCCAGAAGAACATGAATTTGGCCATTTACACCATTCTGTTGTTTTTTTCTTCGATCTGTGTTCGGCTTACGTACACTTCTTCAGAGCTCACTCTGCCTATGACGTCACGATATGCATGCTCATATCGCTCCGCTCCGTCGTAGAGTGCAAAGCCAAACGAACTCAGCCATTATAAAGCCTAGTACTCATAACTGCGAAATTCGCTCTTTGTTGACATTGCTTCGACAATTTGACGTTTTATGCGTGAATCAAACGTCAAATTGTCGAAGCAATGTCAAAAAAGAGCGAAATACGCGGTTATGAGTAGTAGGCTGGCTGGTAGATTTTCAGTGTTGTGTCATCTGTCAATTGTCGAAAAAAATGATAAAAACTAGCATTATAAATTTAAAAAAAGTATGTAACTACTTAAATAATAGTACTACTAAGGTCAAGTTCTGGAAAAGTAAATGCGCTTGAAAGTTTTCTACCCCTCCCCCTCCCCGCGGCCACCCCTAACTTTACCCCCCCCCCATAAATGTAAAGTATCTACGCCCTTGCACAGCATATGAAACAAATTCCACTTAAAACCTAGAAAAAAAATCCGAAAAAGGATAGGACTTTTTAGTTTTATTTTTTTCTTAGTTCCTTCTAATAATAATTATCATTATTCAGCTCATCCCTGAAATTGAGCTTCCTCGGAATAGAATAAACAAGGTTTTTTAGGTATACAGAAAAAGCTAAGTACCCAAACCCCAACGATGGATTCAAACATTTGTCAGACTTTTAAACAAAGTCGTGCACTAGTAGATTTATTATTCTGGATTCACATCCATCTCTCATCAAACGTTCTCGTTCCTTCCTACAATCCGGTTTGTCATCCACATGCCTTTATTCGCTTTTTTTTGTGGTTTGAAATACTGGGAGCCTTGTTGGATATTCCATTGCCATACGGGTCTATCCAGTGGCGCACCCAGGGGGGGTGCTATCGGGTCAGGCCCCCCCACATACTTATATACTAACGCACACCGCTAAAGTGCGACGACCGACCAGTGTAACATAGGAGGCTGCCATTTTGACCTATATTTCTAGTGGAAAGGATAACGCACACGTAACATGGGATTTTTGGGCTCTATGGATTTTGCCCATTTTTTGATATGTAGAGGATAGGTAGAGGATTTAATTCTGAACAACCTTTAAATGGGATGACTAGAGGTGGGCCAACCTGCGATTTTACTGGAGCTGTGACAAGACGTGACTGCTCCAGTCGTGTCACGGTGATAAATAGCAATGAATTTTTGGAACAGTTTAACCTTGATAGGCCATGCTGGTAATACATATAAATGCCGCATTAAATAATCGCAGTCCGCCCAGTTCGCAGTCACGGAGAGAGGTGTTCCAGTTTGCCCTCTGCAGTGGCAGTGTCTGTTTGGCGTCAGCGCGATGCGATTTACAATAATATTTCATTATTTGCATCACTTTGACTTGAGTTTAGTCCGCGCTGCATCTGCATCGGTGAAGCAGTGACAAAGTCACAGTTCGTGGAATCGCAACCCACCTCTGAAACTGATTACTTGAAGTACATCTCCTTCTTTGTTTCACTCATTTATAACCGCATTTGTTGTTTTTGCAAACGTATCCTACCTTATCTCCTTCTTTGTCTTACTATTTTTGCTAAAAATACAGTCAAATTGACATTAAAAATGAAATTTGTTTATTGGAAAAAGAGGAAAAAACATTCTATTTGAGATTGTAAATGTGGCAACGTTATTTTCGATCAAGTAGGCCTTGTAATGTAATGTCATTTGCCACTTTTGACAGCCGAGTGTTTTTATCCAGCTTTTCCTTGAATTTTCCGGTTTTTCAAGAATTTTTCAATCAAAAAAACTTTTGTTTAAAGTACGAGGCTTTGAGTTTCCTTCATTTTCTGACAAAAATTTCCAGTTTTCCAACGAGGTAAGTGACCAGAACCTTGGTTTGATCGAGTAGGCTTTAGAATGTTGATTTTCCATTGAATTTTCTACTTTTCCAAGGCTTCTTTAATCGGAGAAAGACTGTTTTGAGTGCGGGGCTTTAAATTTGCTTCAATTTTTCAGGAAAAAATTTCCATTTTTGGACTAAAATACTATCCTACTTTATCTCTCTCTTTGTCTTACTCACTATCAAATTATTAGTCGGCCATTTTAAAGTGTCGTGATTACATTTTTATTCAGGTTTTTCTCGAATCTTCACTTTTCCAGGGTATTTTAGTTTTAGTCGAAAAAACTGGTTTAAAGTACGAGGCTTCGAGTTTTCTCCATTTTCTGCTAGAAATTTCCAGTTTTAGATCCATTAAGTTACGGTCAAAAGGTAAGTGAGAAAAAATTATTGAAAAGTAAGTTTTTGAGGCCGTATTCAAGGAATTTCTAATTTTAAAATCGTTATTAATTAATTATTTAACGGGTTTTTAATTATTAAATTACAAGTAAAATCCCATTTTAAATGATTTTTTTTGGAAGTTTTGTGATGTGGCAACACCGCTTGCAGCCAACTTCAAGTAGACCTTGTAATAAATGTCATTTGCCATTTTTAACAGTCGGCCATTTTCAATTGACGAGTTTACATTTTTATCCAGTTTTTCATCGAATCTTCCGCTTTTCCAGGCCCTTTTCAATCGGGAAAATTGATTTAAAGTTTGAGGCTTTGAGTTTTCTCCATTTTCCACCAAAAATTTCCAGTTTTCCAATGGAGTAAGTGACCAAAACTTTGATTTTTCAAGTAGGCTTTGGAATGTAATTTTTATTGAAATTTATTAAAGATAAGATTCCAATGCATTATTTTCGGAATTTATCATTTCATAAACATTCATAATAATTATTTATTTAAACAAAAAACTATTTAAAATGTAATTTTTTCTTATTTGAGATGTGGCAACGTCGCACAATTTTATTACCCAGTTTTGACAGTCGGTCATTTTTGAATGTTTTTATCCAGTTTTTCCTCGAATTTTCCGCTTTTCCATGCCGTTTTCAATTGGGAAAACCGATTGATAAGACGATACTTTGAATTTTCTTCATTTTTTTGCCAAAAATTTCCAGTTTCCTAATGGGGTAAGTGAAAAAAACTCAAGTTTTATTAAGTAGACTCTGGATTGTCATTTTTACGGGATTTTCTTTGGATTTTCCGCTTTTCCAGTGCTTTTTTGATCGGGAAAACCGATTTTAAGTACGAGGCTTTGAGTTTTCTTCATTTTCATCCAAAAATTT